CACAATGTCTATACAAATCTACATTCCCACCAACATGTACTAGGGTTCCCTTTTTTTAACACCCTTGCCAACATTTGTTATCTCTTATTTTTTATTTTTATTTTTTTTTTGCTGTCTCCCTGTCTGGAAATTGAACCCCGATATCTTATTTTTTTCATAATAGCCATCCTAACAGTTGTGATATGCAAATTTTTATCAAAGAGGAGCAACTAAGAGGTGATTGGTTGGTGTGGTAGGTGGTACTGGACCAGCCAGCTTACCCATTGTCTCATCACATGAGCTTTGATCCCTTCCCAAGAGTTACATAGCATATTTAATAAATTCTTGGAGTCCTCCTGTACACCAGGCTTTGAAATCAAGCATAGAATTTTCCTTATATGGAGCTCGCAGTCTCTAGGGTTAATGCTCAAAATCCTCTCCTCCCTGGACTGTTGGCAATCATTTCCTCTCAGATTTTAGTCTAACGTCTCTTGCTAGAGGGATCTTTCTTTTACTGTTTTTCTTTGTGTGTGTGTGTGTGTGTGTGTGTGTGTGTGTGTGTGTGTTTTGAGACAGAGCCTTGCTCTGTCACCCAGTCTGGAGTGCAGTGGCGTGATCTCGGCTCACTGCAGCCTCCATCTCCCAGGTTCAAGTGATTTCTTGCCTCAGCCTCCTGAGTAGCTGGGACTACAGGCCTGTGCCACCACATCTGACTAGTTTTTGTATTTTTAGTAGAGATGGGGTTTCACCATGTTGGCCAAGCTGGTCTTGAACTCCTGACCTCAGGTTATCGGTCTGCCTCAGCCTCCCAAAGTGTTGGGATTACAGGCATGAGCCACTGCACCCGGCCTCTTTTCCATTTTTTTTTAAATTAATAGTTCTTTTCTGACTAATAAAAGAAATACATGCTTATTCAAAAAAATTTGGAAAAATGACAACAGTATAAATATAAATCATCATCTAGACATATTCAGTGTTGAAATTTTGATATATTTTCTTCTAGACCCTTTTAAAAATAGTATAATTAATCATAGAATACTTAAAGTTTAAGTTCTGTTTCTCTTTACTATCACATCAGAGACATTGTCCCAAATTATGAAAATATCTTTGGAGCATTAAGACTGACATTTCTAAGTCTTAAAACATGTTATTTCCCTGCTTACAACTGTCCCATCATTGGTCTTAGAAGGTAAAGTTTCTACTTCTTTATTTTTAATTTAATTTTTATTTTTTATTTAGTAGAGATGGGGTCTCACTATGTTGCCCAGGCTCGATTCAAACTCCTGAGCTCAAATGATCCTCCCACCACAGCCTCCCAAACTGCTGGCATTACAGGCATGAGTCACCATTCCCGGCCAAGTCTCTACTTCTGAATGCCATGCAGGCAAGGTTCCTTATGATCTGATCCCTGCAAAGTTCTCCAGGATTCTATTTTCACTCCTCACTCCCTCTTCCTTTAATACCTAGTCACCCAGACTCACAGGACACACAGTTATTTGACAACCCCCTTCCCTCACACTCTGTACTCTGCCCACACCAGGCTACTTTCAGGTTCCCAGGCTGCCCCCATGTCATTCGCTCTTTCACCCTATATTCACAATGCTGCTCCTGCCTAGAATGTCCTCCCGTTGGCATATCCAGTGAAGCTCTCCTTATTTATCCGTTCTCAGTTCGAGCATTGCCTCTTTCATTAAGTCTTTCCTTTGCTTCTCCACCCCACCATAGAGCCACCTGCTCCTTTTGTTCATCCTCCATTGTACCCTGTCTCTCTACAAGAGACCCATTTTGGCTTAGATTATGGAGGCCAGGGAGCCTTGTCTTATTCATCCTAGTTTCTCCAGCACTTTGCAAATATTTAGCATGTAGTAGATGTTCAATAAATATTTGCCTGAATTCAAATCAGTGGTTACAATACTATGTGATGAATGCCGTGCAGGGAGTGTGAAAAGAGTGTTTACAGGTGCACAGCGGAGGGGCAGGTTATGAGTATATGGTCTCAGATCCAGCGCCCAGGAAATGTGCTCATTTTAAATATGGGGATGACCTTCCTCCACACTTCATCACATATTTGAATCTATTTGCATTTCTATTCCCCATCCTTGGATCGACTATGGGAACATTTGTTGCTCTATCCCCATATACCTTTCCCTTTGTCCTCTGAGACTACTTGTGCCCTGAGCTCCAGGTGGGACAGAAGTCCTCACTGTGGCAGAAACCTGGCCACCACTGCCTTTTTTCTCCCAGGAGCAGAACAGACAATTTTAGGTCAGCTGTAGTTGCCCTTAGCTGGGGCTCAGTATCCCAGCTCTAGCATGGGTAGGTAGGTCTTCAGAGGCAATCACTCTTGAATTATTACAAGCATTAAAATCAAACTCATTGTTTTAGGCAGACTACCTAGCATATAGCCTTAGCCAAATTCTTTCTTTCTCTTGTCCTTCTCTATCACTGTTGCCATCCCAGCGAGTCCTCCCCTGGAGATAACTTGGACTACTTTGCTCATAGAACAGGTCAGGTAGGAGGAGATGGAAGTATTTCCCCATTTGACAGAATGGACTCCTCAGATGTTCTTTGTTCTGTAGAAAGGTTGAGAGTGGACCACAAGAAGTTGGATGCTCCATGGGAGTGCCTGTGGGCAGAGATGTCACCCTGGGAAGGGGTAGGAGCACAGAGGATACCACTGAGCAGCAATTCACTAGAGGAAAACATTCATTTCTTCTAAGGGCAAAGGGATGGACCTGTGAATGAACTTCAGCAGTATCTAATGGTCAAGTGAGCCTATAAACCAGGGCTTGTTTCCCAGGCATTGCAGTCACCATGCTACCACTCAACAGGCTGCAGAATAAAGGCTGAAACAGGACAATGAGGAGAAGGAGAGGGAAAGTAAAAGGCATGTAATCAGATCAATCACCAGCTGGGCCCATCTGCCCAGGAGCCTGTCTCTGGTGATGGCACCAGGAGACATGTCATTGGAATGCCTGCCTGTGTGCTTGGTTGTCAAGCCTCAGCACCAGACACTCTCATTTCCTTAATGACAGGTTACAGATCCTGTATCTATAAATTGAGCTAAACCCTTCTTGACCTTTCCATATTTTTAGCCTATACTGCTGCTCTGGATATAACAACTTCCATGGCCGATTACTTGTTCTGTGAATACCTTTATCTCAAGTTAAAAGAAATTCTCTCTCAAATTTGAAGACCCTGCCCTCTTAGTTTCAGTTTCTAGTGTTGGTAACAAATTCATGTTTAGCCCTTGGCACATTTTGTCAGTTTGAGGGTGGGGGGGATGGAAGAAGTTTGATATCTCTGCTGTGTTATGTTTTTCAGATTCAAATCTTTATATTCTCCATCTTTTTTATAAAATGGACCAACAGGAACCTCATTGCTTTTTTATTTATTTCTCTGGACCTTTCTTTTCTACCTCTGTTTAGCCTATGTTAAAATAGAGCAACTAAGAGCATTGTGACAAATACTCCAAGTGCAGCTCACTGAAGGCCAGGCTGAAGCCTTTACCTCCTACTGCCTTTTTGGACTGCATTTTTTAAAATCTTTGTGACTTTAACCTTAGGGCTAATGTTTTCAAAAACTACTAAATGAAACTGTTTCTGTTAGCTGCAGTAGCTGGTTTAGACAGGCATCTTGTAAGGGCAGTTTAGGGCCAGGCACGGTGTCTCACACCTGTAATCCCGGCACTTTGAGAGGCTGAGGTGGGAGTATCACTTGAGCCCAGGAGTTCAAGACCATCCTGGGCAACGTAATGAGACCCCTGTCCCTACAGAAAAAAAAAAAAAAAAAA